TGCTTTATATTGCCACATTATGTATTTTTGATTATTATTTTTTCCCCCATGTTTTGTAAATTACAGATGATATCTGCTGGAATCCAAGAAAAAAAAGAAAAGTAATAATTTAACAATTTATATGTTAACTGTAAAAATTAATAAAACTGTACATAATGTCCACATGAGAAATCAGTACTTACTTAATTCATTACTTAATTAATTTTTTTACAACTCTTAAGTTGTTCTTTTACAGTTTCTGACCATAAAATGAGAGTTTTGCTGTATTTCAATCAGCAGACGTCCTGACATCAGATCCTAAACTGAATATTTGAGCTTCAGACCCGTTTGTCCAATAAAACAAAGTGGACGTTGTTGTCTGACAGAACCAATTAACACCAACAACGTAGTAATGAATCATTCGTCCAGGATGACGGACTTCTCTCTGTCACATGATGTCGTTTAAACCTCACGTTTGTGGTTTTTCATCCGTCGGTCGTATGAAACAGAACATTTTAAGACGTCAGCTTTGGTTCTGTGACGTCACCGTGAGCAAAAATAATCGTCTGAATAAGGACAGTAATCGTTAGACGGTGTGTGGAGGATGAACTGGACCTGTAGGATATAAAGCTGCTTGTTTACAGACATTCAGTACCGGGCGTGGTTCTGTCCCATCAGCAGCAAACGGGAACCTCAACGCAGTGAAAGGATGCTGGAGGTCTGAGGGAAGTTAAGACGAGCAGATTGACAGAGTGACTCTGTTTCCTCGACCACTTGAGACCCAGCAGCCGACGCGGTGGTTCTGAAGAGTCTCGACGGGTTCTGCACTAAAGGAAGGAAAAACATTCATCAGCATTTGAATGTAGAGGAACAGAAGAGGGTCAATCAGCCGGAGTGGAAGTGTTCAGATCATCCGTCCGTGACCCGAGAGAGCGTCGAGTGGAGAGGATGTCAACGAGCCGGAGCGCCGACGAGAGGCTTTTAACGGCAATCAGGGCAGAGCAGAGGCTCGGCGCCGCCGGTGGAGGGTCTGAGAGGCGCCGGAGGCCGAGTCCACCCCAGCTCCTCATCTCCTGCTGCATGTCGAGGACGACCACATGCTGAAACACAGCCGGTTCTGGTCATTTAACTCGGCAGTCCAGACCTAACGGACACGGAGATGGGCCAGAACCTGCCTGGGTTGTTATCAGTACCATATATCAGTTCTTACTGGAGATGTCATCAGTCACAGCTCTGATAAACATCTGGACAGAATCTAACCTCCGAATCCCAGAACCGACCGGCCCGACGCCAGAACAGCAAAAACAGTTTCAGCACTTTGAAACAAAAACAAGCTTTAACTTGTAGATTTCATTACAGGCACAAAATATGAAACAAAACCACCACGAAGAGACACCAAACCAACAAAAAACCAGTAAAGACGTAGAACAGCCTGGACATGACACACACCACAGAAACCA